CCTCTGATTGTTGTTTTTTTTCTTTTGTTGCACGTTTTATTATTTGGTAGCCAAATGTTCCAGGGACAGGACCAAAAAGCTGCCAGGTAAATTCTCCAACCCGCAGGTAACCAGGACAATTAACCCTCTACTGCTCAAACTGCTCTGTGCATATGTCGCTTTATAGGGCCACTCCCCGGTGTACATGTGTGCACAATGTGAAGTAAAAGAGCACAGATAGTGAACTCAAGGTTTGTCTGCAGTTGTATTTTAATTTTTTTAATGTGCTGCTGAGTCCAAAACTAAGTTCTTGATTGTTTTGAGGAATCAGTCATCTAATGAGACGACCCACTTCATCCAAATATAAAGGAACATCTAAGAAATGCTCTAAATGACAACCAACAACATGGAAACATCTAGTTTCCAGCCACTAAATAAGGAAACAATTCAGTGGCACTCACTTTCCAGATCTACCATGTGGTGAGCGACCAGAACATCACTGCTCTCTTTTATCATCCATAGTCTTTATCATTCGACCGAACAGACATGACTCAATATTCATCTCTCCATGACCTTATCTGGGTAACCTAATTATCTGTGCATTACAGCAACGCCTATGCAGTTAGTCCGTTTGTCATGTAAAACTTGGCTTGTCATCATGTCTGCTAAATAAATGTAACTTTATATCTTATTTAGATAAAGTTATAAATAAAAACAGCCTCTTTTAAAGCTTCACTTATAACAAATCATCAACCAACACTTTAGCTTTAAAAAAGGAGCTTTTTGGCCTCATTAAGCCTTCCGTTTCGGTTTCACAGTGCACAAATGTACTGTGTTTCACCTCATACAAACTGTTTTTCAGCAGCAGGCAAATGTGTTGAGCAAACAAGCTTTAGCAAACCAAACGGAGGCTGCCCAGAATTGCATGTACAAACTAAAGGCCCTGACACACCAAACCAACGTCAAATAACTAGTATGGACAGAGCTGACATTTAAACACAACACAAAGACAATGGCCAGCAATCACATACGTTCTGCACCTCCGTAAGGGGGAGTAACTCTACATAACATCAGGAGCCTGAAGAAGTAGAACTATGGGTGTAGTCGTTGTTATGCTACGTACATTAAAACTTGTTCACATGATTTGAACTCACCACTTGCATTCCAGGCCATGTTGCTGATTCACTGAAACTGAACAACCAATCAAATGGCGCGTTTCCACTGCAGGCCTCGCTCGGTTTGGTTAGGCCTTATTAGGCCCGGCTCACTTTAATGCTGCGCTTCCATTACAGTTTAGGAACTGGGGCAGTTACTATAGTAACGCAGTGTAGGTGGAGCCGTGACGTCATTTTCAATGAGAGCCCCAGAAAAACAACACAGCCGTTAGCTCTTAGCACTCAGAGCTCACAGCTCCTCATATCTGTTCAGAAACTAGACACAAGTTAAACAAGTACAAACCACAGACTGCCTGTGTCATGGCGAATACATTCGCTGGTTTATTTACGTCTGTATAGGCCGTTGTTGTGATCGTGGACGGTCGGAGCATATATAACGTTAGCTTAGCCAAGCTCCATTTAGAAAACACGCATTTTAAAAGGGTTTTTCGCCTGCCGTCTGTAGACTTGTCAAAGCGTTAATTCATGGTTTTTACTAACCGGTATCAGCATGTTGTTACTTCGGCATCATTTTGAAACGTGTATTACAATTAAATCACAGTCAAATATGTTCATCTTGTTGTAGTTGTAGCCCCCTTGCCAGCGATTCTCTCTCTAGTTTAGCATACTCAGCCCGACTCAGCCTGGTTGTTCCTGGCCCTAGAACCACGATTTTATGGGGCCAGAAAAACTGTGAATTAGGACCCGCTAGCCGGTACTAGGCCAAGCGGAAACGCAACCAAAAACGGGCCCCGCACGGCTCGGCACGCTTAAAGCGAGCTACCCGCTGCAGTGGAAACGCGCCATAAGTGTTTAATTAGCTAAAAGTGCATACAATGCAGGACACACCAAAAAACATGGCTGACATCCCATAAGGGGTTTGGTGTGTCGAGGGGCCTTAAGTTAGATGCTAAACTGGTCAAGAATGCCAAGCATGTAAGAACTAGAGAAGAAGTGTTAATCACAACGGTTCATCTAGCCACAAACCTGGAAAGGTAGCCTCATTTTGGACTTACATACAGCAGTTGCAGAAACACAGTTCCATATAAATGCTTATGAGGGTCTGCAGAATGTGAAAATATTTAGAAAAGACAATTATAAAAGGGTCAGAATTTATCAAGGCTGTGGGTTCATGAGCTTGTTGGGGAGTTATTCTGCCTCGCATAACCAAAATAAAAATACAAAAATGAATGCAGCGTTACAGCGTCAAAACAATTCAATGATGCATAACTACAAAGGGCTACAGAAAAGCAGATCTTGAATGATCTTGTGCATGTGTGATCATAGTTGTGGACAATTTGCAAAGCCACTGCAAAATAGGCGACCCTACAAAATGCACTCTGCAAAATCAGCCCCCATGCATGCAACTTAACCCTTGAACTGGAGAGGACCATGAGCAGGCAGCATGTGTAATGGAGGACTCCATTTAAAGCGAAGAAGTCAGGAGAGCTCAACAGGGGGAGGGGGCTTCAATAAGAGCCTCTCTTCCTGACAGCCACACACTGCAGTGGGGGAGGGTTGAAAACACCAAGCTCTCTTCTTGAAACTGCAGCAATGGGCATAATGGGATGGATCCTTCCATTCCAGCTATGTGATACTTATTTTAGAGAGCTGTTTGAAAGAACATCAAGTTGAACAACTCAAAATCTGTAGCCTCTAAAAGAGAAGCTGCTCTGACACACAGAGAAAGAGAAAGAGAAAGGTAAGCCAGCATTGAACTGACTGCCCTGTTGATCCAAACAACAAGCATTTGTACTCCATCCAAACACACTCAGATGTAGTAATTTCCCCTCCCCTGGTGACAGGGCTAAAACTACACACCCCAACCCTCTGCTCTGATTGGTGATACGTTGTTGTGCAAACTGCGAATGATAAATCAGGAAACAGGTTTTTCTGGAAAGAAGATTAAAGTATTGGCACAGAGCTCGACAGAACATGCCACAACCGCCGCTTGTTGTAAAAGTTCTTAAACACAAGTGTTAGTCCCGTTTGTTTATTGTACCAAAGCAAACACATCAAGTCAACCCAATTTTTCACCTCTGTCAACAAGAATTAAGCCAACTTGAACACTCCGAGTTAAGAAATATCTATAATCTGTGCCCAGACTTAGTTGTGTAGATTTGACCTGTTAACATATTCAAAATGACACTCAAACAAGCAATTAGCAGCTTGCTATTTTGTGCAGATCCTGATCAAAATCCTGATTTAGCATTACCAAACAGGCTCTGAGGATTAGGTGCGGACTCTCCAAAGAGTGGCATATAAGCAAGGCCTCTTACCAACATATTTGCCCTGCTACAGGCACACATGGTTTCAGTTAGGGGTCTGCACCTATAAACAGTGGGCTATGGTAGCTTATTGGTCAGGAAGTGCAATGTTGACTGCAAGTCAAGACAGGCACAAGCTGCTAATGAATGATATACACCCTTACAGTGTAGCTTTGACAGCACCGTTTAGATTGGAGGTGTTCAGAGGGCGACAGAAAAGGGACTCTGAGCTCTTTAGAGTCAAATAAGAAAAGACAGTCGGATAAGATGTACTTGCCATACAGCACAACCAATGTTTTGCATATTTTAACTGGTGGCTGCTGTTAATGTTAACATAACACTTTGCCAGTGTAGACCACCACAAATTACCCATCATCAAAGTATGTGTTTTATATCTGCATGATTAAATGTAACTGAGACTACATGAAAACAAGCAATAAGACAAGGCAATGGCAGAGATATACCTACCTTGAAACTGAAGTTTGCTAAAATGACTTAACCATGATCTGTCAAAACTATGAAACAACTACCATGTCTCTTGGTTTCCAATAATGTTGGCTCACAAACAAATATACATCTTAAAGAATTGCTCAAAATGTGCCACCTGTGCCAACAGCTATATTGGCCTCACAAGAATAAACATGTTAGAAAAGTGTAAATCATGACAGGTTAGAGAAGCTCGTGATGAACATATCTCATCTTAACTGAAACAAGAATACAAACAAGTACTGAGCTGTCAAAGGCCCAGACCCACCCCCTATTAAGTTTCCATCCCAAATCAAGCCAACCAGGAACATCATATCCAGGAGGAAAATGTCAGAAAGCACCAAACTGGCCATCAGCAGATTACATAAAACTACCGAACTCAGACTGTAGTTATCATATATCATTAGTTAATCATAATCTTACTCACTGTAATGTAACTATTGTGCTATATGTGCTTCGTGGTAACTTTAAAACAGACAGCAATCATTTAGCGAAGCTTGGAGGAAGATTGCCTTGTGTATCATTCGCTGACACAAAACTGTTACAAAATGGAAGGTTGCTTAAACAAACACACAGTTTCAGTGTTATATTAAAGTTATCAACAACTAAATGAGGTGTACCAGCTGTATTCTGAAGCTTGGTGGATAAGGCGGTTCAGTGAAGCTTTCCTGATTTAACATTTCCATCCACGACGTTTCAGAGAGCTCGATGGAAAAAGTATCCCAACATGGTCTACAGAGAATATAGCGTCAGGCAGTGTTTGCTAAGGTAAAAGGCACATGATATATAACGTTATTCACAGATATCCACATTAAAGCGGCCTGAACATATTTTCTTTTAAACTTCAGACAGAGGTTTGCCAACTCGGCCGAGACGGAAACAGCCTCCAAACAAGTTAGCCAACTGAGCTAACGCAGCTAGCGGCTAGCTCCAGACAAAAACGTTTTCTACATCTGAAAAGTTTCACTTTATAACCGAGAGGGACGGTGTTAAAAAGCTCTTATCGCACAGGGCGCTCTGATGCTTTTTCTTTCACAGTACCGCTGTTTAACGGCTTGCTCCCGGCTGTGGAGCACGGGGCAGAGCCTGAAGCAAGTCCACTTCATGTAGTTACCTTTCCGTCTCCGCTGCCGCCGCCGCCACCGCTCCCCAGGCCGCCTTCAACACCCGACACCGCCGCCGGACCTCCAGAGGGCCGCGGAGCTGGGACAGTCGAAGCCGAGAGGAGTCCAGCTACTACCAGGGAGATGAATAGCCAACTGCACCGAGGCTCCGGGCCTTGTGTGTCCTCGAAACAGCGTTAATGAAGGGATACCTGGCCCCAGCTCTCCGCCGTTTGATAGAGAATAGGGAATCACTTTTTGACAGCTCCTCTTCTTCAGCCCCCCCTCCCCTCGACAGCCCTTCACTTTTCTCTTTTTCCTCACTTCCAGCAGATACGAATCAAAATACTGTCACAGAATATGGCGGCTGCATAAGGAAGCTGCTATCGCGAGAAGGAGAGCTGCTTTTCTTTTTTTCACTTTCCAAAAGTTGCGCTGAGGGAGGAGAGAGTGTTGCCGCTGCAGGAGATGCAGGCTGAGGACAACGGAACAAGAGTTTCTGCAGGAAACGGTGCAGGAGAAGTGGGATAGATATGAATGAAGTGTCTGCTGTGGTCTGACTATAGCAGGGGCGGTTCTAGGGGGGCAGGGGGGGCACTGCCCCCCCTGCCCCCCTAACACTGACCTCTGACCCCCCTGTGGCCCCCCTAACAATGAAACGTTTTTTTTTTTTTTTTTTAAATGTATATTTTCTGGTACTCGGTTTGCCAAAAACCGCAGGATTTTGTTGCTGTAATGTGAGATTGTGCAGCCACCCTTATGTAAAGTAGAGATGTAACTGTTCATTGCCTTTATTAATTTGTTATATAAATATGGTGTGAGTGCAAACATTGCACTATAACTTAAGCTGAAGCTAACAGTAATAACTATAAGATCTATCTGAAATAAATACACTGAACAAAAATATAAATGCAACACTTTTGTTTTTGCTCCCATTTTTCATGAGATGAACTCAAAGATCTAAAACATTTTCTATATACACAAAATAACCATTTCTCTCAAATATTGTTCACAAATCTGAAGAAATCTGTGATAGTGAGCACTTCTCCTTTGCCGAGATAATCCATCCCACCTCACAGGTGTGGCATATCAAGATGCTGATTAGACAGTATGATTATTGCACAGGTGTGCCTTAGGCTGGCCACAATAAAAGGCCACTCTAAAAATGTTCAGTTTTATCACACAGCACAATGCCACAGATGTCGCAAGTTTTGAGGGAGCATGCAATTGGCCTGCTGACAGCAGAAATGTCCACCAGAGCTGTTGCCCGTGAATTGAATGTTCATTTCTCTACCATAAGCCGTCTCCAAAGGCGTTTCAGAGAATTTGGCAGTACATCCAACCGGCCTCACAACCGCAGACCACGTGTAACTAACCACACCAGCCCAGGACCTCCACATCCAGCATGTTCACCTCCAAGATCGTCTGAGACCAGCCACTCGGACAGCTGCTGCAACAATCGGTTTGCATAACCAAATAATTTCTGCACAAACTGTCAGAAACCGTCTCAGGGAAGCTCATCTGCATGCTCGTCGTCCTCATCGGGGTCTCGACCTGACTCCGGTTCGTCGTCGTAACCGACTTGAGTGGGCAAATGCTCACATTGGATGGCGTCTGGCACGTTGGAGAGGTGTTCTCTTCACGGATAAATCCCGGTTTTCACTGTTCAGGGCAGATGGCAGACAGCATGTGTGGCGTCGTGTGGGTGAGCGGTTTTCTGATGTCAATGTTGTGAATCGAGTGGCCCATGGTGGTGGTGTGGTTATGGTATGGGCAGGTGTATGTTATGGACGACGAACACAGGTGCATTTTATTGATGGCATTGTGAATGCACAGAGATACCGTGACGAGATCCTGAGGCCCATTGTTGTGCCATTCATCCACGACCATCACCTCATGTTGCAGCATGATAATGCACGGCCCCATGTTGCAAGGATCTGTACACAATTCCTGGAGGCTGAAAACATCCCAGTTCTTGCATGGCCAGCATACTCACCGGACATGTCACCCATTGAGCATGTTTGGGATGCTCTGGATCGGCGTATACGACAGCGTGTTCCAGTTCCTGCCAATATCCAGCAACTTGGCACAGCCATTGAAGAGGAGTGGACCAACATTCCACAGGCCACAATCAACAACCTGATCAACTCTATGCGAAGGAGATGTGTTGCACTGCGTGAGGCAAATGGTGGTCACACCAGATACTGACTGGTTTTCGGACCCCCCCCCAGACCCCCCCAATAAAGCAAAACGGCACGTTTCAGAGTGGCCTTTTATTGTGGCCAGCCTAAGGCACACCTGTGCAATAATCATGCTGTCTAATCAGCATCTTGATATGCCACACCTGTGAGGTGGGATGGATTATCTCGGCAAAGGAGAAGTGCTCACTATCACAGATTTTCTCAGATTTGTGAACAATATTTGAGAGAAATGGTTATTTTGTGTATATAGAAAATGTTTTAGATCTTTGAGTTCATCTCATGAAAAATGGGAGCAAAAACAAAAGTGTTGCGTTTATATTTTTGTTCAGTGTAAGTGTACTGAAACAAATACCAATAACTGTATTGCATTGTTTTCTTATGCGCAATTACTTCATACTGTCTAGTTCTCTTTTTCGTCCTGCATTTATTGTGCCCCCCTCAGAAAATAACTGGCCCCCCAGTGGCCCCCCCAGTCAAATTGGTCTAGAACCGCCACTGGACTATAGGATAATGACATGTCATTAATATATTGATATTGTTTTATGTTACCATTCCTTCTAGACCAAGCTCTGATTTATTTAATGATACATGCCTTAGTAGCCTACATTTTTACAGCGGGAAGTGGCAAATTTAGTTTTTACACTATGTTATTCACAATGTCATGATTTCACTACAAAACCTGCTGCTGGTGAGTGTATACAACTCTTCAGGAATTAACTAGAACATGTGTTTCCCTAAACCAGAGACAGAGACAAGCTGAAAGACACCTATCACCATCTATTATAAACAATTAAAACAATTCCCAAAATTGGGATCAATAAAGTACATCACTCTGTGTGACTCCCCAGTCACTGCCGTGGAGTCTTTCCGCTTCCTGGGCACCATCATCGCCCAGGACCTCATCAAAAAAGCACAGCAGAGGATGGATGCTCTTCCTGAGGCAGCTGAAGAAATTCAACCTGCCAAAGACGATGATGGTGAACTTCTACACCTCCATCCTCACCTCCTCCATCACCATCTGGTACGCTGCAGCTACAGCCAAGGATAAGCAGTGGCGGCGCCAGATATTTTCTTTTAGGGGTGCTGTGGGGTAGCTTGACGTTTCATAGAGGGTGCTCAAACATTTAAGGTTTCCCATTAATGTCCCGGGCACTACAGTGGAATACACACACACACAGTGTACCCGCGACTGTTACAATGAAGGCTCGATAATCAGCTCACGGCAAAGGTGTAAGCAGAGGTAAAGTATACTATTTTTATAAGTGGGGAGTGGACCTAACATCCTCTAGGGGGGTCCGGGGACATGCTCCCCCGGGAAGATTTGTTTTTAAATATTGAAATGAAAAGAATGAATCTGGTGCACTTTGAGAGCAAAATTAAGAGATCTGAATACATCTCTCAACATCCATATGAAACGGAACTGTAAACCGATTTCTTTATGGATATTTTACAAATCACTCCCCTTTTAAACTGTATTCTTGTTTTACTGTCATATAATATTTCATACCTGTTTTTCATTTATGCTCTTATTTTTTTATACCTATAATGATCATATAAAGGTGTGCCTCGGAAATACTTATTTACATAAATCGTGACCAAACCGTTTGAGACCCACTGAGATAACTTAGACTACAGTTAAAGGTAGGGTATGTAAGTTTGAGAAACCGGCTCGAGATCGCTAGAATTTGAAAATACAACCAACACACACGAACGCGCACATGACCAATGAGGGCACGAGATAAGTTTGTGCACAGATGGAAGGCTGACAGGCAGGTAGGCCATCCAGTTATTTTAGCCGGGCCGGCTCAGATGATTCGTCGTGCTTTTCACAGCACCACGGCTTCCACAGATGACATTTTTTTTATGTATGTATTGTCAAAGCATTTAATATATTCATTGCTATCGGGATGTTAAGAGCATTCCATGGAATATAACAAAAAGTGTATCTCGAGCCGGTTTCTCAAACTTAGGCTACCCTACCTTTAACTATCTAAACACTGAGAGAGTCCTTTACTTCACCTGAGCTGAGGTTATCTGAGACTCTCAGTCTGACAGGAGAGAGTTCCTTGTTGTTGAAAAAGCTCCTTATATCCGTTAGTATAGCTAGCTAGCACCAGATGCTAACCACAACGATCTCCGGCACCGGTGCACGCTCTCTCGCTCGCTCGCGCATGCACACAAAATGGCTCATGCCACACACAGAGCAGAGCTTGAATGAAACAGAGACCCAGAAGTAGGCTACTTGTACTGTACTGTACTGTAGCATACATTTCACATGAAAAAAAGACACCTACATTTCTTGGGGGTGCTTAGCGGGTGCTATGGCTATCCTGGGGGGTGCTTCAGCACGACACTTTACCTCAGCCACAACGGAGACTCTATGCATTACATTAATGCACACAATGTTGACAATATCAGTTTTTTTACTACAAATATTTGTATTCCATTCTATTTCAATGTAAATACTGCTTTATTTATCTTTTTATTTTACTTTTTTAATTGTATTATATGAAAATAGTTCTCTATCTGTGTTTTAAAATTGTTGTTTTACTTTTATGTATGCGTTACGACACCAAGTCAAATTCCTCGTACGTGTCCACCTACCTGGTAATAAACCCATTTCTGATTCTGATTCTGATCAAAATCAGAAACATATTTATGGCCATGTAGGTTAACACATACGAGAAATTTGCCTTGGTGTACATGGTGCATTTAAACACAGTTAAAACATATTTTAAAAGTACGATATTTTATGGATTTCTCGCCTTTGTTGTCTGTTTGATTCACAGCAACACAGAGCAGCAGAGGCATCAAGTCTTATCAATGTGAATCACTTGCTCTTATCAATAATGGTCACTTTATAAATTATCTCTATTGCCTAAATTATATTTTAGTGTTTGGTATGAAAGCTTCTTCACCCAAATGAAGCAACACATTTCATGGTGGAGTGTGAAAACATAAGTGTGCTGTCCTTTCACTCCTGGCAAACACGAGCCGAGTGCTCTTTAATGTTGAGTCTGTTGTGTTCTTTGACTCAAATGAGTGTCTCTGTCTGTTAATACTGGAATCAAAGGTTATTTACTTTATCAGCATGCAGATGCAGCTTCTAGATTCAGTTTGGCTAAAAAAACTGAGTCTCTGAAACTAAACAATCTGCTGATAGCTCTTTTAGCATGTAGACTCAGCAGGAACCTACGCCAGGATCCTGTTTGTTGACCCCAGCTTGGTCTTCAATACCATCGTCCAGTCTTTGCTGCAGGAGTAGCTCTCCCAGCCGCATGTGCCGACTCCATGTGGACTCCACCTGCAGGTGGATGACAGACTTCCTGTCCAAAAGGAAGCAGCACGTGAAACTGG